CAACAATGGCTCTACTGAGATTTGTAAATTTGGTTTCGTTGGGCGATCCTCCGTTTATATTAACACTCTTTCGAAAACTTTTGCGTAAATGAGTAGAAACGGAATCGAGAGAATGGGTAGATAAAACTATTGGAAGGCAGAGAGAGCACTAATGCTAGAAACCTAAAGCAATAGCAGCATATCCATACACAGAAGAAAAAAAGACTATGGCCCACTGGGATGCTGATAGAAAACTAGGATAAAATACCGTGGCGCATAAAAAATAAGTGGCATATTTGTGGTGCCATAGCAGCACCCTAGAAATGGTCTGCTTCTCCCATAGTTGGCCATAAACCTGTTGTTTTCGCATAATCATCTAGCCTTCTTGTTTAACCGTCCCCTAGTCGCTTGGCGGTGAATTTCAAAAGTGGAGAACTCTAAGGGAAAGAAGTGTGCGTCGGTGGCACAGTGGTTAGGACTCTCGCCCACCATGCACATGTTCCGGGGTTCGAGACCGCACCGACGCACACCTGATATCTGTGGTCGGCCTGCAAAATTTGGGATACCGATATCCATGCTGAAAATTCCATACTTGTACCGAAAATACAGTGTGGAATCAAGCTGTAAATCAAAAATTAAAAAAAAAGTTAACCTGTACCTTCGTTGCTGCTCTCTGGTGAGTATTTCTGGACTATCCAGCCTAGTTTATTCTTGAGGAGAATTTTGCTGGCTCACTCCATTTTTGTATGGGATGTATGGGTTCTGCATAAGCAGCAGGAGAATCTTTTTACTACAGGTTTGTGAATGGAAATTACCCAAAATTTATTAACTCTGGAATCAAACTCATATTCCGTATTCCATTTTTCCAGATTGGTGGAGTCTTTTTGCATCTTGGTTGGTTCATCTTCATCTCCAACGTCTCTATAGTTTGCAACACCTATCGAGACGAATGTTAGGAAGTTAGACTTATTCAAAACTCTGTTTCTCGAAGTCAAAGAAGTAATAGATATTACGTCTATTATTCACTCTCTAAGCACTAAAGTTATACTTTATATAAAATGTTGTTTTTTGTGTTAATTAGACCATTTTCGTTTGACCAAACCCTTACACATTTCTTGTTTGAATTGACATTTTTTAACTGCTAATGAATTTTGGGTTCAGCTATTGTGCTGTTTGTTCAAGGGCGAAGGATAACTTCATGTTTGAGGGCTTGTAGCGTGTTTGCCCGACATATTTCTCTTAATAAAATAATGATCTTGAAGTTCTTCAGCATACTGTTATCAGCATAATTACGTTTTGCAGCCATTTGGTTTATTTCGGATTTGGTCGAGTTTCTTTGAAATTACTTGGGTTTCCTTGGTTTCGGGGGAAGGCTGGAAGTCTATCTTCAGAGATTATTCGCGCGGCGCTTTTAAAACAGCTGAAAACAGCTACTTGTGAATCTTCATTGGGTGCTAGTCTTCGTGTAGAGGGTACCCAGTGAACCTTACTGGAGCGTTCCCTGTCCTCCAGATAGGTTCCAGTTTATGGCAGTAATGGCTTGCTGATTCCCATTTTAGAGATTTTTCATCCGCAAGGTCAGCCTCATTATCAAGTCCACAACAGTTGGGAAAAAAGGTGAAAGTAGGCGACCTTTTCTTATCCTCCTCTTCGGAATGGCGTTCAGATAAGTGGAGATGGCGTTTGAAAGTTCTGAATTATGCCAAAAGGCCTGACCTATCACTCTGTAACGCGTGCATGACTGCATTACACTAGGTGTTCTGAAATCGTACATCAATAATCCGTAACCCTTTATTTATGACTAAACAGATCCCGCGGCATAATATGCACTATCGTCTCTCGAGACGATCACGAAGATAAAATAATAAGTAACCGAAATTGCCTTCCGCAGACATTACCAGAGTGTTGTCAACCATAGTATTGATGAGAAATCCTGTGAAGCATTCTGTTGATGGAAAAATGGCTGTTGGTATTGCTATTTCCCAACACTTGAGCGGTCCTCGCCGGATTGACGCTCACTGGTATCGACTAATCATTAACGTACCTAACCCTCAAGTGTCGGTTTTAAAGCACAAAAGAATTACATTTCACTGCTCAGAGGTGAGGGTAGTTTCTTATCCAAGTTTTCTAAGGGATCGCATAATAACTAGCACTAAAAGGAGAGTGAAAATAGTGAGGAAAGCTGTTTGTATGCAGACAAAATCGATTACCTTGAGCGTGTGAAGATAAATTACCTAGTTAATATTTACATGTTTTGTTACATTGTTTTGTTAGTCCGGTTGCATTTAACGTCGTTATTGCGGGGCACTAGTAAAAAAGACAGCTGTCATCTTTTCTCTAGTGCGTTGTATAGTAGAAGATTATGCTCTGGTGAAACAGCATGGTTCAGGAGTTTGTGTTAAAAAACTACAGACTCTTTATTATCAAGTAAACTTATCCTTAGTTTTCGCTGGTTCATTTTCTAGTGCTCCTTCTTCTTCATTCATCTTTTCAGTCTTTTATTCCTCTTACCAACTTATTTCGCACTCAATCCTGCAGTTTGCTTCCAACCATTTGGCCTGTATAGAAGGGCGTAGCAAATATAAAGCTCAAATAACCGAAGAGTTAGTACAGGTTTCTGAAGTTGAAACTTACATTTTCTTTAGCAAACCTGGTCACAACTAAACCGGTGTATAATTTTATTGACAAAATACTTCAATTTTCCGCCACTTAAAAGTGAAGGAAGAGTTTAGCTCAGATGAAGACTACAGCCTAAACTTGGCCTTCAAATAAAAGTGGCCGAAAGAGAAAAACTCAGCGAAGCACCCAAAAAAAACAAGAGTTAGACAAGACTGCTTACTATCAATGATGTTATTCCTAATTGTGGTGAACTCGAGCATGTGATCGACCATGTGGGAAGAAGACAGGAATATTCTGAACCAATGAGAGGTTCAGAAGGTTAGGATTTCGGTATCACTAAAACCCGGATATCTGCAAGCGGAAACTAGCAAAGTGGTGGAAGCGGGCCGAGAAGACAGGACTTCAGTTATATATAGAGGAGAAAGATTGATGAATATAACAAGCCAGGCTGTAAGAAGAAGTGACCAAGCTGCAGAATTAGACAGTAACAACCTGAATAGCATTTAACGTAAATTAAAGCCGGGATATTTCGTTTGGTGTAGCAGTAGTATAAAGATCTTCCCACTATCAAATTAAGCTCCCTAGTACAGAGACGGAGAGTTATCTTTGACTTCTGTCAGCCGAAAAGCTGGACATTATTGCACAACGAGCAGAAGATGCAGATAAAGCCGGTACAGCCATCTTCTTTGTGCTAGGGGAACTAGATGCACAAAGTTGGTGAACAATTACTTCTAAACAGATGCTCAAACATCTTAGGGGGCGACTGAAGCTTCTTCTGGGTTAAAACAATGGATGATGAACTCCAAAAGCTGAACCTATACAGTCCTACTCACCTAAAAACTAGGGACCACTTAATGATGGTTAAGAGGCTGAAGGTACTGACGTTCACGGATAGTACGAAGTAAAATAACGCGAGATCCAATACCCAGAACTACTGTGCTATTCATTCCACGTAGATCAAAAGGAAAGCTAAACATCAGAATTGACTGTCCAAATTACGATGGATATTTCAGGACCAAATCGGAGTGCGAGATGTTGGCTTAACTAGTCAGGGATGTTGAAGGAACGGACGAGCGAGCGTAAGACGATGGTGTGCCAAATGGCGTGGATGCGTGACCGTAAGCCTTCAGCTAAGCAAATCAACTTAAACAGTGAGGGTCAGCATTCAATGTTCACTGATTACTGCTGAAGCCGGTATTTCTGGGAAATTACCTACCACTACAATGGTCTTCAAAAATGACTACAATCTCCGGACTGATCCAAAAAGGGCGAGTAGGCAGAAGACAGTCCAGCTTTTTCTCCTTCAGATCTTGTCACTTTTGCCATTCCGTGATGACTGACTGGCAACGACTCTACAAGCTAGTTTGGCGTCCATCAAGGAAATAGTTTTGTTCTAGAGGGACTGTATCTGTAGTAGAATAATGCTCATGTTGATCTTGCCGCCAAAATTTAGATTTAGTTTATGTCGTTTTCATTTGCTCTTAAACCCTGTCTCACCCTTATTCTTAGTCAGTTATATTTTTACTAACCTCATCCATATTATATGTGATTCTTCTGTTCTACCTGCTTGGTTTCTCTTCAGCATCTCATATCCTTTCCTGGTTGTAAGGTTTGGGTTCCTGATCTTCAACAAAATTCTGTTTAGTTTGCGTTGCTACTCGAGTGTCTTAGAGGAGAGTGATTATATTTGGTCTGTGGTATGCGGTGTGTTAAAAGCTTGCCACTGTTGTGAATACCCCGGTTAGTCGACCGAAAAGGGAGACAATTATAACAATGATATAATTAGTGAGATTGCGTATACTTAAAAAGAAAAACAGAGCAAACAATTAGACAGATCAAGCAATTCAATAATTAAAAAGTGATTGGACAAGCAGAGTACCAGAAGAGTTAGACAAAGAAGACTGGGTTGAAGTAAACGACAAATTTAGGTGATATTCACTTATAGGGTGTGATGCATGAGTTTCTTAGGAGTAATCCACTCGGATACAGTCCTTGTGTTGCTCCATGGTTATTCAACCTCCATTTGAAGCTTACTGCAGAAGATAACCTTGCCACATCTGCCGGCTGAATATTCCATTAGTGTGGCATTTTCAACGTGTTTTCACGTTCTCTGAAGGAATTTATGGTTGAGAGACAATTTAAAATCCTACAAATGACACTTGTTGGGAAGAAGTGTACAATCTGAAAATGAAATGACTCTACCATTAACTTCCCTAATCACAGCCGCATTATTTTAGGGAGTAAATCTTCACCATTGTAGTCAGGCAAATATCTAAAAATCTTTGGAGTCACCAACAGGCCGGGAAAAAGACATCATCAGTCTTTATTAGGTTCAACACAGAAAAATTAGATATTGGGACACGAATGTTTGTAGGTCATTCAGAGCGGAAGTTTGTTTCTGAATGCAACAGCGGTTGAAAGAGTTGGGCGGTGTCTTACGAGGGATAGGCATCGTAGTGAATAACACTGTAGAAGATCAAACTCGTAGAGCATACTGGGAATGGTCTAAATCTGACATTAGGAACGTTTTGACCAACTCTTCTTGGGATATTACCAATAAAATCAATGGTCAAAACCTATCTCAGACGGCTAGTTTCGTAATAGACAGATTATGGCTTCTTAGTCAGCAGAATTTCATCATTGCCAAGTCACTTATATTCCCCGGAGTTCTTCAAAGTTGGGAGTCAAGTGTCTCTGGAAGCAGAAATAATGAAGGCAGCAATGGTTCTTCGAGTATCAAGACTGTAAATGAAGCAATCACTTCACCACAAAAAGATAACAAAAATACCGCACGTAACCGTGTCGCCAGCAAACCATTCACTCTTGATAGCTACAAAATGCCATCCCCAGAAACCTTAGATCAAGTAATTATTCCATAAGTTGTATATGTTTAGAAAGCATCCTCCAAAGAAAGGCGTGTACCATCATCACGTATCGGAAGAATAGCGGGTTTTGGAAGTAAGGTTTAGATTTAATCTTACTCTCAGATCTGGCAATAAGTCTTGGTGTTGGGGCTGCTACCGAGTGGGCCAAGCAGAAAGTTGGGTATTCCGGTATATCTCGGGTTTTTAATGGATAACTTATTTGATATATCCTATAGGCTCTGGAGGGTCTACTCCACCAGGAAATGTATTTCTAACAGAATCGAATCTTGAGAAGATTGTTGACACATTATGTCGCATGAGAGGAGCTGCTCTTAAGCTCGGGCAGATGTTGAGTATTCAAGGTCAGTCTCATCTTGTTGTATGCCAGTAACATCAGTCAACGTATTTTAGTTTTAGGAACAGGCATAGTTATTATAGGCTGCCAGAATTTGAAACCTCGAGGATTTATAATTTTCAACCTTAACTGTTACTAGTCCTCTCTAACTATCACTTAGAGACCTCACTAAGTACTTATCCCTCATATGTAAAAATAAAATATTGGAAAACTAATATAGTGATCTACTAACTAATTCATGCCGTTAATGTTTACCTTATTTCACTAGGTATTTCACTTTTAGGTCTGCTGTTAACTGAAATACTGGATATCCTTTAAAACACCTTTAATAGGAAATGTATTGATAGTGGAGGAGTGAATATACCCACCGATTCTGTGATGTATGGTCATAAAAGCGAGCAGTTGCGAGGTGAGAAAAGCATCCGATGTAGTCGGTTTGGGGTCAACGACCCTTCTGCTTCTCGACACTTGAGCTGCTCTTGACAGTACCATTCTGTCGAAGGCTGTCAGAAGGGTTTCTCCAAAGTCATTAATATCATATGAAAGTTAGATGACATGATTTCTTGGTCTTTTAATGAGTCAGTACCATATGAAGTTGAGTACCTTTGTTAAGTTAGGGATTTTCATGAATCAACTGTGCATACCACTATTTGATTGGGGTGAGGGATGAAAAGTGAGTCGAAACGTCTTATAGTGGGATTAAAACAACCATGCTTTCCCTATTTTGCGTCCCAGCTTCATATGAGAGACTAATTATAAATCTTTAGGCACTTCATTTATCAATCTAGATCTGAGATTATTGTGTAAAACGTGCAACTTTCTTCTGGTTTAAAGTAATTTGTTAGTGTGTTCAAAGGTAGATTGTATATGCCCAGTAAATTTATACATTCAAGTCGTATGGAATCTGAGCAGCTGAGTAGTATTCCGAACACCCATGTATTGCGCAGTTGCATTTAATGTTTAGTTCTATGTTACTTTATCAGCTTTTCTTTTAATCTGAGTGTTCTTTCATGGATTTTCAAGTAAACTTAAGGTAGATGTTGGTATTAACGCAACAATTCGCATACAAATTCATGTAACTATTTAATTGAATTTTAGATTTTCCCGTCGATTGATTGAACCGAAGTGCTCGGTCTCAGGTTGACATATCGGCTTCTTGTGCAGATGCTTTGACGATGCATGGGCAAGTAGTTAGAGGTTAATTGGTAGCTGTTGACTAGCAGTGAAATCCAGGATGCGCATTTCGTCCTATTTGGGACTCGTCAGCCACTGGATGAACCTGCATTCCCAGTGAGTGATCATGTTCCCACGGAAGCTCAAACCCAGTGCCCACCCAAATTGTGGTAAAACCGGTAGTACATGACTTGCATTAATGAGTGCCGAGTTCAAATCCTACTCAGCCAGCTTCAGTCTTTACGACTGGGCAATATCATCAGTCTTCACACAATGTATGGCTTCTGTCCTGGTGCATAAATGTGTTCCGAGCAGTTGAGTTCCAACTAATTAACTAACTATTTCAGCTAGGTGCACCTGGTTACTAAGCTACTTCATCTAATCAAAAGGTTTTCTAATTATTCCCGTGTCTTTTGATTTCAATTATTACTTAGTTTGAAATTTATTTCTTGAATAGACTTAATTCTCTAATTTCTTCCTGTTGCCTTTAACTAGACGAGAATTTTGTGAGTCCACAAATTCAGAAAATATTTGAACGTGTTAGGCAAGCAGCAGATTTCATGCCAGCTAGACAAATGAAAACAGTTCTGGCATCAGAACTAGGTGAAGATTGGGTTCAGCATGTCAAAGTATTTGAAGAAAATCCATTTGCTGCAGCAAGTATTGGTCAAGTTCATAGAGCTACTCTTAAAGATGACAGGTAAGTCAAATTTTTTTCATTCCCGAAGTATCTTTATGTAGCTGTTTCCCATGGGCGCCTTGTAGGAGCGAATTTGAACCCACCTAGCTAGTTCCCTTTGATACCAATGGTCAGTTTATCCAAAAATCCTTCATTGGATTATCGAGCCTCTCTTATCACATTTGAAAGTTGTTAGTTAGTTGTAAATTATGTAGTCGATTAATTTGTGTATTTTTTTGATTACGGTCAAATTACTTCGTCTGTGTATTTGTATAATAAGGAAGACTGATTTATCGTTAGTGCAAGCTGTTATTATTTCCTTTAATTCCTAGAGGAACATAGCGCTTCAGCCGCGTGTCTCCATTGTCTCTGCTAGAGTTTTCACCTGGCTCCAAGTCTGCCCACATGCTTTCATCTCCTCTTCACATGACCTCCTCCGAGTCACTCTTGGACGACCAACTCACCGCTTCCCTTTCGGGTTCCACTCGAGCAATTACTTGTCTAGTGATGTCACTTGATGGTTTCCTCAGAGTATGGCCAATCCATCTCCATTTCTTCCTGCCTATTTGTTGCACAATCAGTTCCTGTTTGGTTCTCTCCCAGAGATCCCTGTTTCTGATCTTTTCTGGCCGCCCATCTGATCTTGAGTATTGAGCGAAAGCAGCTGTTGACGAAGGTCTGTAGTTTGTTTGAAGTGCTCTTTATGACGCGCTGGCCAAGTCTCTGAACCGTATAGTAGCACTGACTTTACATTGGAGTTGAAGATCCGTATCTTATTTTTGATTCTGAGTGCTGTTGACTTCCACACAGACTTAAGAGTAATGAAAGCTTGTCTTGCTCTGATATCCTCATCAGTTCTGTCCGCCTGTAGTTGAAACGATGCTTCTCAAGTAGGTGAAGGAGGTTGTTTCTTTCAAGTTCCTCCCATTTATGCTGATTGTTATCTGTTGCTGTTGGCTTGGAATCTTCATCACCTACCTCTGTTTTCTCTATGTTCGCACGAAGTCCTATTTTTGATACTTCTTCTGCCAACTTGTTGCTTTTCACTGTACAAGCTGTTACACCTCCCAAAATCGTATGTTAAGTTATGGTACAAAAATGTAATGATACTTAACTGAGGGGACGTTTATGAAGAAATATTAGTTGGACAACTGAAGATTGTGTTTTACATCCGTAGGTTAATTGAATTGTCTTTCAAAGTCCTCTAAATGTTTCTCCTGACAGCTTTTTTTCTAGTCTCATCTTTACCTCGAAGCTGGTTTAACTTGCCATAACCGTCTTACAACCCATCATGTTTTTTTAAAGTGAAATTTGTTGATGGGTATCACCTTTTCTATTTCTTTTGCTTTCTTCATCCATCATTCTTCACAGTTGGTACAGTGACTTTCAGTCGGCTTACTTTTAATCTTTGTGTTTGTATGTGTGTCTGTTATAGTTCAAAGATTGTTCACTTCATTGACATACACTTTGATCAATTTCTTGAATCCGTCATAAGTTCAGACATAACCGTTGTCTTGGTGTATGAGTACAAACATTTATAAACTAACATAGTGGTTTGTGAGGTTGTAACACTTCTTTGTAGCCATATGCACATTGAACAATAATTTACACAGAAAATCCACTAAGTTTATATTGCTTGGTGGTTGATGTTGTTAAACAAGGCTCCATTGTTTCCATTACCTGAGTACTTTGCACTCACCAGTTTCAAACAGCATAACGTTATACTTATTCTTATTGGTTTAGAGTTCACTTTCAGTAAGCTCATTACCACCATTGACTTATAAGGGGTTTAACAGCAATTTATTATTAAGTTTATGCATATTAGGCGCACCTTCTAACCATAAATTTCGTATGTCTAATAAACTGTATCCTATCATCATACTGTTCCATTTTTGTATTGATTCATCTGACAAATCAAAACATTGCTTCATCAGTCAATAAAATCCACAATAGTTAGTGTAAGCCAGCCATGCAGGAAGATGTAAACTTCCTAGTTGGGATCCTCGGGACGGTAAACACCAATGGTGGCTAGAGACAATTGGTGATGTGGCTGAAAATCGTTCTCAATGGCTGGTGCAGATGCATCCACTCCTTGTGACTTATAATATTCAATAAAACTATGTGGTTCTTCGATATCACTAATCTTTTTGTCTCATATCTCTGTTTACCGTCTCTATTTTGGGTTTCTTTTTAATTTCTTCTTCTCTGGCTTTGTGTTCTGAGTGAAGTGTGGCGACTTGAACTGCTGCACAGCGGTGGAAAGTTCTGTGTTGAAACAAGAGACAGCCAGACACGTCTAATATAGTAAATGACCCCAGCATAAAGACAGAAGACAAGGCTCCCCATATCAATGCACGTAGAAGTTAGTAGTCTATGTAAAATAATATTGATGATGAGGCCTACCCTGCCACCGAGAAATCTAGCTAGAAAGGTCAAAGCTTAGATAGGAACAAAGTTATATACATTTTTGTATCTATTCTTTTACTTATGGTCGTAATCTTCTGTTGTAAAAAACGAGTAAAACGTGCAGCCTTTGTGTTGAACCTAAAAATTTAACAATGCGGGCAGGAATAAAAGTGGCTGACATTCAAACCCACAAACTCAATTAGAAACAAGCTTTGTCGGTTAAAGGATCAATCCTGTGTAGCCAATTAAACAAAACAATTTAGTTTATCCAATACTCTGCCTGCAATGATTGTCAGGTCAAAGTAGTAGAATGAGGTCAGTCAGACCAGTGAAGCATAAACACTTAGAAAAATATAGATTAGTTAACCCTAATAAGACAAGAAATCTGGGGAACAGTTCAGCTATAGCATTACATGCAATTACACACAATCATAAAATAGGATGGGATAGGATGACAGTTTTAAAATCTAATGTGACAGGGTAGAGTGAGAGATTGTTAACAGAAGCTTTGTTTATCGAATGAACTGCAAATACATGTAGAAGGAATGATTCATCACCTGTCTACTCAGATATCTGGAAAATTCTAATACCCGAACGACGACAAATAGGCAAGAACAAAGAAAACCATAAAACTCAAGTTTCGAAGTCGTGATTATAATTGATGATATGGTTATGAACCATAAATTAAGTTTGAAGTGTCACTTAGTGCGGCGGTGGCACAGTGATTAGAACACTCGCCGGTCAACGCACCCCTTTACCTCGCTAAGCCAGTAATAGGACCGGTAAAGAGGGAAGGTTGTGCATGAGGCTAGCAACCCCATCCCGTAATAGTAAACACCAATGCTACCGGAACTTCAAGCCTCTAGCTTAAAACTCTATGTTCCCCTGGGAACGTAAAGGAATAAAAAAAGATCACTGTGATATATCTAATTGCATGGAGGATTTAATCATGAGCTGACATCAGTTAGAGAACCACTGGAAAACCTGGGAGTACTGGGCAGCCGTTTCGTCCTAGTTTGGGACTCCTCATCAGTACGCACCCACCGGGATTCGAACCCAGGACCTTCTGGTTACAAGGCGAGCTCGTAGACCATTGAGCCACTGGGACCCGATCCAATGGTCCTTGAATTCTAACTTCTTCCAGTTTACGACATAGCGCGACCACTTCGCAATGTCTTCTTCGATGAGTTACTGCCTCATCTTCGACCTGCTGTACCCTACTGGTCACGGCTTCCCACTAGAACCCCAGGTTAACTGCCTGAATAGGGCCAGTCACTAGTGAGCATCAGATGAATTTTCAAGTATTAGTTTTTGTAGGGATTTTATTTGATTGCATGGGGGATTTAATCATGAGCTGACATCAGTTAGAGAACCACTGGAAAACCTGGGAGTACTGGACAGCCGTTTCGTCCTAGTTTGGGACTCCTCAGCAGTACGCACCCACCGGGATTCGAACCCAGGACCTTCTGGTTACAAGGCGAGCTCGTAGACCATTGAGCCACTGGGACCCGATCCAGTACTTCCAGGTTTTCCAGTGGTTCTCTAACTGATGTCAGCTCATGATTAAATCCTCCATGCAATCAAATAAAATCCCTACAAAAACCAATACTTGAAAAATATATCTAATTAACAAAAATAATATGGAATTAAATACTACCATAGTAGTGCTCATGTTTTACACATATATGTTGAGTTTTTTTAATTTGATCCTTTGTGCAGAGTTGTAGCAATGAAAATACAATATCCTGGCGTAGCTGATAGCATTGATTCAGATGTGAATAATTTAATGACTCTCTTGAATCGTTTCAATATATTACCGCCTGGTTTATTCGCTGAAAAGGCAATTGAGGTGGCTACAAGAGAATTGAAAGATGAGTGTGATTATCTACGGGAAGCTGAATACGGAAAACGCTTTAGTCGCCTGCTTGCAGATGATCTTGTCTTTCAAGTTCCACAGATAATTGATGAATTGACAACAAGTCGTGTTCTAACAGCTGAATACATGAATGGTTTAGTACTAGACGATTGTATTAGTCTTCCTCAGAATGTCAGAGATTGGGTAAGTCTCAGTGTATTTAAATCAATAAAAAATTGGAATTAAGTTTCTTTTGGATACTTTTTAATTTGTCACTTACAATCTGGATATTTGTAGCGATGTTTGTTTACTTACCTAAGGACTAAACCAACTTTTCTGAAGTCAGATGCTTATCAATTGATTAAAAAGACTAAGCGGAAAATCAGAATATTATTTTATTTTATTTAAACGCATAAAAACTTGGTACAATACGGCACCAAGAAGGATTCGCCACACAATAGTAATAAAACAACAGATCAAAAGAAAAAAAGAAAGAAGAGAAAAATGTATATATAAGTAGAGAACGGATAAAGAACTTCATCTGAAAGGAAAACAGTCATGCTTAACAAGTTCAAGCAGTATTCGTTAACTATCATCGGGAAGGGAAGAAAGAAGGAAATTGCAACACATGTAATAGTACGCGATAAGTTTCATTGATTGTTTGTTGCTTCATTCAATTCATTGTGTAAGGGCTGAGATACTGCCCGGGCGCCCAGACCGAAGCAGGTGGTTTTATTAAGGGACCACCCCGCGAGCCTTTGACTTGGAGTCTAATCCGCAAGGCAGTGGAGAGCAGCGTCAGGAGCTGCATTCCCATGGTTTCCGGTGACCCATATCGGTTCATATGCCATTTGATTCGATTGGATACTGGAGCCCATGTACCCCATGGTAACTGCTTTTAGTTTAACCGCTATCCAAACAACCTTCCCGACATGGTAGGACCTGCAGGGACAGAGTCCCAGTCAGTTTAGCATGTCGGGTCATTACGGTATTCAACCCCGACCACCACGACAAGGTACCAGTTATCGGCCGGGAAGATCAGAATACATATTATTTCTGTTCATAATTTTTATTTTTCCGTCTTGACTGGATTGACAGAATTCACTTCTGATGTTCGTCTGTGACTGGCTACAGAACGAAGTTGTGTTGACTTGACTAGTGAGAAGCTGTGACCAGTGTGGGGGGGGTCCTCCACCAGGTCAAAGTGAGGACAAATCCTTGCCGATGACATTGGTTGGCTAATGTTCGCGCTAAAATCACGAATTCACAGAAGTTAGAATTCATGGGCCATTGGATTTGTGTCCCAGTGGTTGAGTGGTCTACGAACTTGACTTGTAGCCGGAAAGTCTTAGGTTCGATCCGTAGTAGGTTCATGGGTGCGTACTGATGATGTGTCCCAAACAGGGATGAAAGGCTCGTCCGGTACTCCCTGGTTTTTAGTGATTCTCCAACTAATGCCAATCTGTGGTCAAACTTCTGACGAATGAAACCTGTTCTTTGAGTGGGTTTGAATTCCATATTTTAGGTGCTTGTCGGCATAATATCGTCCTGACTTTACGAAGAAGTGATGCTACCTTAGTCCAGCAACATAAGTAGCTAGTGACTAGTTTCCTATCTGTAATGTTGCAGTAGTTACATTTTCCAAAACTTGGCTATGTGCAACTGTTGTTAAGATTATATATATTTTCTTATCCGTTAAAAATTATGGGCAGTGAGTGGAATCGTTTAATAAAAGACAGGAAGATTGAGCGAGGAAATATTTACCTTTCAATTACATCCTCATCTCTGGCTCTACTCTAATATATACCCATAGCATTTTTATTACAATACACAACAGTTTACCAATTAAGTGGCATTTAAAATTATTTAGCGTATTCCTACCAATCTTAATTTCGCTCTACGAGTTCGTCTTCTACAGACAACTGAAGCAATAGGAATCCACTTGAAGAAACCAAACCTGTGTGTTCAAAAGAAATGTATACAGCCACTTTCCTTACTGTGGACATCGTTACATGAATGGCCCCTCCCCTAAACCTTTAAAATTATAAAAATTATAATTGTCCAAATTATTTTAGTTTTATTTATTTTGACCACTTCATCTTTAATTACGTGTTATCCTTGTAAAATTATTTTATTCTTATGACCACTTCAGCCTTAGTTACAAGTTATCATTGTCCAAATCGTTTTATTTTCTTTAACAATCTGTTGCATAATCAACCTGTGCACACGCTTATTCCTTAATTACTCTTCATTTTTCCAAAATGGTGCATTACGCAGTCCACATGTTGTAACCATTTCTACCTTTGAATTATGTGTATTGATTTTCTTCGTTTATTATCAACCCATTGATATTTTGACACTGACTAATTATTGTTAACAAACATATCAGTGCCACTTGATTGGTAAACTGTTGTGTACTGTAATAAAAATGCTATTGGTATATATTAAAGTAGAGCCAGAGATAAGGATCCAATTAAAAAGTAAATATTTCTTCGCTCAATCTTTCTGTTTTCTAAATGTCTAAATGGGGATTTTTTTTCTATATTGGAATCGTTTAGTGTATGTGAAATGTACGTCTTCACTTGTGTTCATTTATTTTTTGGATTTTATTATATGCGCAGAGTCATGTGATCTCGCCTTGAACTTTACTTCTCTGTACTTTTTAAAGTTATTTATTTATTCTTTTGATGCGAACTCTTTCTTCACTAATCTACCTATATTGAAAACAGTTGACATTTTGTGTGATGATTACATTTCCACACATAATCTAGTCATTCCCTTCCCTACATCTTATTTAGGGGATTTCCTACATCTATGTTCTAACGATGTGAGGTTCACATTTGAAGGTGATTGCCTCCATCAGATTGATGGTGTTACTATGGGAAGCCGTTTGGAGAGCCTTTTAGCAGACAACTGTATTTTACACATTGAGACTTTATCTGAAGATTTAGTCCAAGATGCACCATCATAGAAAATGTGTCGATGACGTCGTACTCATCAGTGACAAGTCTTGTTCTGCCCCACCTCAATTTTAAATCGAATGAATGAAATGAAAAAAAATAGCATATCACTTACATCTGTCTGTTGAAGAGACAGATAATTGTTTGTCTTTCCTAAATATATATATATATATATATATATATATATATATATATATATTGCTTAGCCGATAGCCCAATGTAGAGAAAGCCTACTTGGACAGGTCAATATCTTCATTTACCACAGGCTCTCTCCTGTATTTACTACAAAAAAAGTCTCAGTGAGGTAGGATTCAACGAATGTGCACAGAGGATACACTTGATGATGAGGAAGGAACACTGACAGTAACTCTGATTGGTAATAATTATCCAGAGAAGCTCATAAAGAGATATGAAGTGGTCAGAACACCAAAATCCATTCTCCAACTTCCCGTTAAGACGGACGTACATATCAAGCTACTCTAAAAGAGTGATGGTCACAGCAGGTGGGTAACTAGACAAAGATTGAATGCTACAGTTAAGAGGAAATTTTATACATAACTGAAGTTTATATATCCATTTTAGCCATTCGAACATAAGAAAAATGATGTCATATCCCACTGTATCTGTCAATTTAAATGTAGGTGTGGTCAAACACACACACACACACAGAGGACTCATCGATATCTGCAAGAAAGGGCTGGCTTCAGAGCATATCCTTAGATGGCTTCATAAATGAATCGAATCCCGTGAACCCATTCATGGTGGAAACAGACAACCTACCTCTTGTATTGTGAAACATATTATGGAGATAGGATATGAAGTTGATATTTACACCTTTTTCTAACCTGCTTGTAAAACGTGTTTGGAGCGTATCCTAAAGTTTGTGGAAGCCCTAGAGATTTTGAAGTTTAAACCACCTTTATGCGTTCAAAGCAACAATTCGTTATTTGTTTATCTGACGTATTTTGTATTGAACAAAACGATGTTCATCAATTTCGACTAAACGGTAAGAAGAAGTAATTTATCGTAATCGTATAATGATTTGCAAAATGCATTTCAAACAATCCGATTACACGCGTACTTGTCTAAGGAGTATATATGAGAATAATAAGTGTTAAGGAGTGAGAGAATAGCCATTGGTCGAGTTAAAAGGCCAAATCGAAGGTCAAAATTACAATGGGAATCAATAAATTGAAGAAGGTAATTTTTAATGGGAGGAGAGGAAATACTTGATAACGAATCTTTATTAAGAAAAAACACATCATACCTATACATACTTAGCCACACTGACAATCGGCTAGGTCAAGCGGACAATGAATTGTTCTGATTAACTGGCGATTGGTCCAAGTTTACTCCATGTCAACAATGTAAACTAAATCCAAATTTGAAGAATAAACAATTCTACTTTTAAAGTCATTGATGAAAAATATTGATTTTAATTTTAGCCGCTTCCTGTCAATCTACATCTGCCCCGGTATTAAAACGAAGTTTACCAAAGGAAGGCTAAATATGATGACGAATTGTTATTGAACGCATAAAAGAGTTGTTTAAACTTCTTGATCTCTAGGGCTTCCGCAAACTTATGGATACTCTCCAAACGCGTGGTCAGGACGCTTGCCGATCATGCACATGGTCCGGGGCTCGATTCGTGGCCTACGCACACCTGATATTAATGATCGGTCTGCGAAACTAGGGCTACCGATATCACATGCTGAAAGTTCTACACTTGTACCAAAAATACTGTGTGAAATCAAGCTATAATAAAATTAAAAATAGGTATAAGAGGGGTGAACGGTAACTTTATATCCCCTCTCCATAATGTTTCGCAATAGAAGAGCTAGGTTGTCTGTCTTCACCAATAATTGGTTCAGGGGATGCGATTTGTTTATGAAGCCATTTAGGGATATGCTCTGAGGCCAGCCCTTAATAGTAAAGATCGACGTATCCTCCCTTTGTATGCGTCACCACACGTACATTTAAATTGGCAGATACAGTGGGGTATGACATCATTTTTCGTATGTTCTAAAGGCTGATATGTTTGTATTGGCTTCAAATTCTCAATTATTCTGACCTTAGCTTCATAAAAAGTTTTCCAACCTCAGCGTTCAATCCTTATCGAGTTATCAAGCTGCTATGGTCACCCATATTAGGTAGATTGATTGATAAATACGTCTTTCTCAGCGACGAGTTGGGGAATCGGTCTTGGTGTTCTCACCACTTTATATCTCTCTACAAACTTCTCTGAATAATTATTATCAACCAGAGTTGGTGTCGATTTTCTTTCCTCGTCATCGAGTGTATCCTGAATGCATATTCTAGTATTGATTTTGTAGTGAATTTTGTTTGATTGTTTGGAGGATTTCATCATGAGTTGACATCAGTTAGAGAACCACTGGAAAACCAGCTGAGTGTACTGGATATATGTTTCGTCAGCCTATTTTGGGACTCTTCAGCAGTACGCACCCACCGGGGTTTGAACCCAGGACCTTCTGGTTACAAGGCTAGCGAGCTCGTAGACCACTGAGCCCCTGGGACCCGATCCAATGGTTCTTGAATTCTAACTTCTTCCAATTAACGACATAGCGCGACTATTTCACAATGTCTTTTTTGATGAGTTACTGCCTTATCTTTGACCTGCTGTACCCTACTGGTCATGGCTTCCCACTAGAACCCGGGTTGACTGCCTGAATAGGGCCAGTCGCTAGTGAGTATCAGATTAATTTTCTAGTATTGGTTTTGTAGGGATTTTGTTTGATTTCATGAAGGATTTCATCGTGAGCTGATATGCATATTCATTGTATCCTACTAAAGAGGCACTTCACTATGACCTTTGTAGCGAACAGGAGCGAAGCCGTGGGAATGAAAATACTGTCCTGTTCAAGTAGGTTTTCTGTAAATGGAGATCAGGCGATCAACTAAGCAATATATCTAGGAAAAATAAATAGTTATCTTTCTCTTCCACAGACGCAAGTGATGTACTACTTTGAGCTTCATTTATTCGACTTAAACCTGAAGTGGCAGAACAAGAGTTATCACTTATAAATACAATGTCATCGATATTTTTTCTGTAATGGTACCTTTTCAATTAAATATTCAGATAAATTCTCAATGTGCAACATGCTGTCATCTGCTAAAAGGGTCTCCAAACGACTTCCCATGACAACACTATCAATCTGACGGAAACAAGTTCCTTCAAATGGGGAACCTCGCATCATTAGTAAATAGAAGTAACAAATTCTGTAAAGAAGCTAAAGGAAAGGGGATTAAAAAACTATGTCTGGAAATTTAATCACAAAATGCGTCATTTTGTTTCAATAAAGGTACACTAGATAGTAAAGAGTTCACACGGCAAGAATATATATATTTTTTCCCTCTTCCTACGATTAAAGAACGAAATTCTGTGGACTCTACTTCAAACTGTATCTACAAGTTCACCTGCAGCTGCGGTGACACCTATATAGGTAGAACTAACAGAATGTTCCAATGTCGTCGAAAAGAACATATTCCAAAATGGCTAGTAAATCATATCGAAAATCCTAAGCGATTAATCTTAATAGAAATCCAGCATCATCCATTGCAAAACACTTATTAATGTCTGGTCACAAAATAAATATTAATGACTGTTTCACAATTATTTCACATAACTCTAATTCAAGGTTATTGAAGGTGATGGAAGCACTTTGGATTAATCACATACAGCCTAAACTGTGTGTACAAAAATCAATAGACTTTAATCTTCGCCTACCCTGGACTACATGACCTATCTTAATATGATTGGTCATTAGTATGCACTTTTGTTTTTATTTAACTGAGTAATTTTCACGAAGTTTATTTTATCATTGTTAACCATGTTAGTTGTAAAGCGGTTGTAAAGAAACTACGAAATGATATCATCTCGCGAAATTTGTCTTCTTAATGCCTTGTTCAAATATTAATTCTATCAAGTCAAAAAACTTGTTTTCAACAAAATTTCATCAATTGGAAGACTTGCAAGGAGGTGAATGACTCCACAGTAGTTTTTTTTATCAGAGGCAGAATTGTTGTACTATGATACTGTTTGTTCTCGTATAATACGTTGGCCATCTACCAGCCAGTCTGGTCTTAAATTTTGTTGCCTAATTAATTGCGTAGATATGCGTTGCCTACTTATAAGTAGTTTGATCTCAAAACTCAAAGTTTTCTATCGTTTTTTGTTTCAGCTCGGTGAACAATTATTATGGTTGTGTTTGAAAGAATTATTTGTATTTCGTGTCATGCAAACTGATCCGAATTGGTCGAATTTCTTGTACAATCCACAAACAGGCAAAGTAAGTTGATTTTACCGGTTATACCTAAAGTAATATGTCTAGAAAACAATAAACAAAACGTGCTCTTAGGATGTTGTCTTAGTTTCGATAAACTTATTTGTAGTCGTCTTTTCAATCACTCTCAGTTATTATGTCAACGTTATTTAGAACCTTAGCGTTTACAAATAATGCCTTGTGAGTGGCTTCATATTTTGTGTTGATCTGCATAAATGTGTAGTTGGCTTTAGGAATCATCTCTACTATTTCATTGTCCTGATTTGTGACAGATGGTACTTAATAAATGTGGTCAGGTGGGGGGGGGGATAGGGTGGGTTGTGCTCCTCACATAAGTGAAAAGGCGTATGCGAACGTCTGACGCTATCAGTCAGACCGGTCAATACACTGGTCTATCTAGGGGGGGGGAATGAAAAGTCTTGGTGTGGAATCTGTGGTGTACATGGGCCTCAGAATCCAAACAGACCGAATGGCGAATGAACCCATTTCGGTCACCGGGACCCATTAAGACTCACCTCTTGACTCTGATACACTATGGTATTGGATCAGACTTCAGGCGAAAGGCTTGGAGTGTTGCTCCTTAAGACAATCACTACATGCTTCAATCTGTGCGTCCGGGCAATATTCCACTGCCCTGCACAAACTATGGATTTTCGTGTGGCCCATTCCTTGTAGCCCATAATGTACCAAGTATGTGTTTTAATAATAATGATACATTGATTCCCAAAACTCCACTCCCCAATTCAGCATCACCCCGATAAGTGATTAATTATTCTAGTTCACTTCCTCAGGTTAGGAAGAGGCTAAAAAAGTTAAATATTCTTTTTCCTGACCAGATAGATAGACTAATGCCGAATTTTGCACGGATTATCATCGGTTTTTGCTACAAAATACAAAAAAACACATGAAGACAAGGTAAACAGGAGTTGAATGAGATAAAAGCAGGCGTGAAGAGAAGATAATTGAATAGAAGCTCCATGAAAATCTTGAGACTTTGAAGATGATAAATTATAAATACGAGTCTAAATTGGATTTTTCAGGTAAGTGGTAGTAATCCACTTCCTGGGTGAAGACCAATTAACAAGCGGTGCTCGCTAGTGACTGGCTACAGGGTGAAGTAACCTGGAGTTCTAGTGAGATATCATGATCAGGGAAGTACACCAGGTTGGGTTTGAGAACAAATATTCGCCGATGACATTGGCTAGTTGATGGTTGCGCTAAAATCACGTATTGGTAGAAACTAGAATTCATCGGCTGGCCATTGATTGATTGAACCGAAATGTTCAGTTTCTGTTAGCATGTTGGCTCCTAGTGACGGAGGCTTCGACTATGTCTGAGAATTAATTTGAAGTAATTTTGGTGGATGATGACTAGCACTGCAATCCAGCATACGCATTTCATTCTGTTTGGGACTCGTCATTTTCAATGGGAACATCATCACTCACTGGTGACCGCAGGTACTGCTCAACAGTCCACTCTGTCCTCCTCCTTTATGGCTGTGAGACATGATCATTGAGCGTGGAAGACATGAAAAAGTCGGCTAGCTGTCCTTGATCATAGGCACCTAAGTTCTATTTCCCATGTTAAGTGTTATAATAGGGCTAGCAATACTGAGGCTAGGCTTCGGCTGAGTGCTAGGTAAGAAGGGAAAATCAATCGACGAGGTTATGAAGTTACATCGACTGAGATAGATGGTTAGGACATGTGTTGCGCATGCATCCCTAGCCATCGCCTTTCTCGACGGGCGGCAGTGTTAGCTGACTGACTTGGGATGGATCAGGTTGGAAAATAGCCATTGGCGGTCAAACCAAGCGTGGCACGTCAATAAAATCCACAACAGTTAGTTTAAGCCAGTCACGTAGGGGGGTGTAGACTTCCTAGTTGGGGTCCCCGAGACGGTAAAAACCAATAGCTGGAGAAGAATGGTGATATGACTCACAATCGTTCTCAATTTTGCAGAGGCATTCAATCTTTGTGACTTATATCCAATAAAATTCCTTTGTTCTTCCATGCTGCTATTCTTTTTGCCTCACACATCTGTTTATTATCTCCCTTTTGAATCTCGCTCTACTCTCTTCACTTGCTTTGTGTGCTACATGGAGGGGCAGTGGGAATTCGAACTGTTGCACATCTGTGCAAAGTTCTACGTTGAAATCTGTCAGTCAAGAGACGGGTCCAAAATGAGACGAAATGTGCGTTCCGGATTCCACTGCCCGTCCACCATCCACCAAAATAACACTGGCATTTGATCTCTGTATTTTATTTTGTTTTTGAAGACTGCTTGTGTATTCAAACATGAGGTTACCGCAGTGATATTGCCGTATACATCGGAACCAGGAATTACGTAATTCAGCCAATCTCTTATTGTTTTATTCCTTATTTATCCATCCCTTACACCCTATAAATGTGTTATATTGTTTTTATTTTGCAACATATAGATTATTTTATTGGATTTTGGAGCTTCCAGAGATTTTAGCAAACCTTTTGTCGACCTGTACATTCGTCTAATTCATGCAGCGGCTGAAGGTGATCGTGAGGCTATTCTTCATATTTCAGAAGATTTGGGTTTCCTAACTGGTTATGAGACAAAGGTGAATTCATTGCTCCTTTTTATTGTTTCTTTTATTTTTTTTAATAACGAGTAATTTCGAATTCTTTTCAGTGTTGATAAATCTTGGTCAGCTGTAGATAAATTATGTTGGTTGTCATTTGGTACCCTATTCTATTCTCAATCATTATTTGCATCTTTTTGAGCGAGTTAGTCGTAACCTGAATAGCGAAATGGTATTTCCTGTATTAAGTGATATAGTATGAGGAAGGGAAGTCAGTCAGTGTGGTTGTGAGAAGATACATCGATTGAGCCAGCTAGGACACGTCTTTATTATTTGTTTTCAAGTATTGGTCTTTGTAGGGATTTTGTTGGATTGGTTGGAGTCTGACATCAGTTGGAGAACCATTGGAAAACCTACAAAGACTACTGGACAACCGTTTCGTCCTAGTTTGCGACTCCTCATTAGCACACAACCGCCGGCAAGGTTCAAACCTAGGACCTTTTGGTTACAAGGCGAGCTTGTAGACCATTAAGCTACTGGAACCCGATCCAGTGGCCAACACATGAATTCTAACTTCTGCCAATTGATGACATAGCACGACCACTTCTCAATATCATTTTCGATGAGTTACTGCCTGACCTTCAACCTGCTGCACCCTATTGGTCACGGCCTCCCACTAAAATCCCAGGTCACTGCCTGAATAGGGTCAGTCGCTGGTTACCATCAGGTCAATTATCAGTTTCCTGGAGTTCTAGTTAGAAGCCGTGATCAGTAAGGTACAACAGGTTGAAAATGACAGTTACTCATCGAAGACATTGAGAAGTGATCGTGCTGTGTCATCAATTGGCAGAAGTTAGAATTCATGCGTTGGCCACTGGATCGGGTCCCAGTAGCTTAATGGTCTATGAGCTCGACTTGAAACCAGTAGGTCCTGAGTTCGAACCCTGATGAATTATCCGAAGTAGGATGGAGGAAACAGCTGTTCAGTACTCCCTAGTTGGTTTTCCTGGGGTTCTCTAACCGATGTCTGCTCATGATGAAATCCTCCAAGCACTTATTTATTTATCACTAAAACATTACAAGCACCAAGATATGCGCCACATATGCGTTGTATATATTGAACTACCGCCTTGGTTGTCAAACTGTGTTTTAGCTGACATAGGGTAAGGTTGAAAAAGAGTTGTAAAAAAATTGTTATTTGTAAAGTTTTCTCTTTAAAAATGACATTTAAGTAAAGAGATTTGGTATTTCCATTATAGATAAGATTTGTTTTGATAAATCGCACAGTGTTTACAGTTATATGAACTGATGACGTTTCGAGCACAAACTATTGCTCATAATCATATCAAGTTGATATGATTATGATATATTATTGATATGATTATGAGCAATAGTTTGTGCTCGAAACGTCATCAGTTCATATAACTGTAAACACTGTGCGATTTATCAAAATAAAATCTTATCTATAATGGAATTATACTCTACCACAGTGCCCAAGTTTTATACTTATATCAATAATAGATTTGGTATTTGTAGGTATCAGAGACTGTTGCACATGTTTTAACATTGGATTTCATTGTCGAAGCATGCTATCCTCTCTTTGCTTTTTTTGTGTGTGTGGATTCATCATATATTTTAACTGGAAAAAATTCAGCTAAGGTAACTGAAACAAAGTAATGCAAAGCTTCACTCACTTGAAATGTATTTTGATTTTGAGTAAAATGCATCGGTGTATAGCTTTTTTTGGTGATTTTAAATCACTATCAGCTATGTCAACAAACTCAAACCCTGTCGACCTGACTTTTTTCTTTATACCATGTGATGATAAAAGGCAGTAGACTTTCATAGATAATGTTGCTTGCGTAGCATTGAATCTGTTACTTGTATGCTGAATTTATTTCGGGAATATTTTCAACTTTATACTTTTCACAAGCTTACCTCAGCTAACTTATCTAGTATATCGTGTGTCAGTGATTGTTGGTAGGTAGCTGATGACAATGTTCACCAATCATGCACGTGTTCTGGATTCGATACCCAGCTGCCAGTCAACTCCCACAAGCTTTGCTTAGCCGGTAACAAGCCTAGTAAAGAGGAAAGAAAATTGCTACATCTACTGAAACTACGAAGCTCAAACTAGAAGCCCTATGTTCCATTTAGAATCCAAAGTATATATACACATAAAATAGCTTTATTCTGAATAGTGTTCATATACAGAATGTACAGAATTTTCAGCGGAAACTGTCATTGTAATAGTCTTTCTTTGTTCAAGATCTTCAAGTAAAATTGTAACTGGACAGTTAATCGCCTGAAACATTACTGTCTTCTCACCTGAAGTGAAAACCAATCCATTACGATATTTCCTCTTTTGTCTCTCCTTACAGAAATGCACGATTGAATACCAATTATAAAAACTTCAAGAGTATATTTTTGGAGACCCAAGGATTATAACTGGGGAAAAGGTTATCTCTCATGTATTGGGATACGTTGCTACCCACAATTTTGTATTTTCTCAAGTTTATTAGAAACTTTTGCGTCGGTGGCATAGCGGTTAGCATGCTCGCGACCATGGACATGGTCCAGGGTTTGATCCTCAGCCGGCGCACTCCTTTACCTCGCTAAGCCAGTAATAAGACTGGTAAAGAGGGAAGGTTGGGCATGAGGCTAGCAACCTCATCCTGTGAAATAATAAACACTGATACAAAAACTTCAAGCCTTCGAGCTTGAAGCCCTATGTTCCACTGGCAACGTGAAGGAAAAAAAATTAGAAGCTTACGAATAAGCACAGCTGGTTGTAGATATTTTAAATACTCGCAAGAGCAGAAAATACCATTAGCTTTCATATTGGACCTAACACTGGTTTCAGAAAACTACGCTTGATACGTAGACTACTGAGCATAGTAACCAACCGGGAACAACAGAAAATCGAAATGCGCTACGATTGTTTATTCTTCCATCGATAATGACACGGAAATACAGATTACTATCAGCAAAGTCTGTAAATACACGTTAATAGAATGTACATTCATACTTCTAATCATATTTCCCCATTCTTCTACCAACCAGAATATGACTAAGCAATGATAACCTTCTTGTCTCCCGCCAAACGGAGACCAGTTCGAATAAACAAATGATTCAGTGTTCACCAGCATTTTCAATATACATATATATATATATATATATATATATATATATATATATATATATATATAGCGAAGCCTCTCCACCTCACTTGTACGTTGCGCTGAAGTTTCATCATAATTCATTTCTTCTCTTCTGCATAATTTCCCTCTAATGGTAAATGAGATTGTTCTAGCCTTCATCTAAATGTGGAGATGTGATTTATCGGCTTAAGCACTTGATTTCCATCCAATTGGAGCAAGGTTCGAATCCTGCTTGCCCTACTTTAATTTGAGAAACTAAACAGGACCCATCAACCCCTCAAGTAATGTTTTCGCTCACTGAATCCTAACAACTTTTACTCATACTTTTATTTGTCTATTCCACGATAATACAATAATCTTTTTTTTGTTTTCAATTTGCCTACTTTTCCCCTACAGTTGCTACAACAAGCTCATGTGGATGCTGTTAATATTTTGGGTGAAGCATTCGCTGCTGAAAAACACTTTGATTTCGGTCAACAGTCAACAACTAAACGAATTAGTCATTTAATTCCTGTTATGCTTGAACATCGGTTGACTCCACCACCAGAAGAAAGTTATTCCCTGCATCGTAAAATGTCTGGCTGTTTTCTGCTGTGCAGTAAACTTAAAGCTAAAGTTAACTGTCGACCATTATTTTATGATATATGGAATAATTATCAATTCTCTGCTGACGATAATATTGCTCACGATCACCAGCAGACTTCTCCTCAGGTTAAGAATCAATGACGGACATATATGCATTAACTTTTATAGATATATTTTGTCTTTTTCTTTTCTTTTTGTAGTGTCTAGTTTAATAGAAATTTTACACTGTACTAGTAGTAGTATTACTACGTGTATTTTGACGAAATACAAAGATATTTTATAAGAATGCAATTCGTTTTTCCTGATAAAATTAGCTTGAGTTTATCTTGATGTGATCAGGTGTTTCGATGTGAATGCACTAGGCCTTATTCTTTTCTTGTTGATATTGTTATCTGGTGATGGATGCTGACTAGCAGTGGAATCAGAACGCACGTTTCGTCCTATTTGAGACTCTTCAGCGACTGAATGTACCTGCATTCCCCAGTGAGTAGTAGTGGGGAGTGATGGTGTTCCCATTGAGACTCTAACCCAGCAGCCATCATTTCTTCAAAGGCTAAAGCGTTATCCACTAGACCACTTGAGCCACGGGATCCACCTCTTGTGCAATGCCTATCAGTTATTATATAATTCAATTCTGACTGTGCGTCAGTGGCACAGTGGTTAGGATGCTCGCCGACCATGCACATGGTCCGGGGTTCGATCCCCGGCCGACGCTCTCTTTTATCTCTCTGAGTCGGAAATAAAAGCTGGTAAAGAGGAAAGGTTGGGCATGAGGCTAGCAACCCCATCTTGTAAAAATAAACACTGCTACAAAGACTCCAAGCCTTTAGCTTGAAGCCCTATGTTCCACTGGGAACTTGAAGGAAAAAATCAATTCGGACTTGGGACGGGGCACCTCATTACAATCAATCAATGCGAAAGTTCAATTCCATTATAGATAATATTTTATTTTGATAAATCACGAACTGTGTTATACAGTAATATTAACTGATGATGTTTTGAGCACAAACTATTGCTCATAATTATATCATATCACTCACACAACTTTTTACTTCAATTATACACATGAGTGAAATTCATGATTAAACATTTGAATAAAAATCAATATAAGATAATGCATGTTCAGAAATAATATGAGTGTTATCAATCAAATACAATCAGATGGGAAATAGGATGTTTTTATAGTCAAAATAAGTAGATTGTTAGAATGTTATGATGTACGTGAATTGAGATAGAATTTTAAGATTATTTATTATCCTCATCTGATTTGCGTTGAGTAATTTCTGTTGCATATGTTGGATGTAGATTCTATGAAGCAGGCAGGATTCAGTCGTGCTCCAACTACCTATGTTACTTCTTAGAATTTTGACTTTGTCCCATGCATCCTAGTGTATGTTTGTGTGTTGATGCATGTAGTGCTATTGCTGAGCTGTTTTCTGAATTGTTTATCTTCTCGGGGTCAACCATTCTTACCTTAGTTAAGTTCTTATGTTCTGATAATCTCACTACTCTCGATTTATTAATTTGACGTATGTAGTTGACCTCACTCACAGTCATTCCAAGGTATTTTGTAAATTAAATAATTTTGATTTCATTGAGTCCATCGGGTCTTTTAGTTGTTGTTCGAGACAGTTACTTTTTTCTATCCTATTGTTTATGTCTTTTTATATTTATAGTCGATATGTAAGTGACATATTTAAACACACACGTAGTGCAATATACACAATCATGGTAAATCAAAGAATTAGTGAACCGTCTTCTCCAAATTCAACAAATGGTGATGGCGATGATGATAATAGTAATAATATCCTTCATGGTATCAATAATGGTGTTGTAATCAACTGGAACAGCTATCCAACTGATGCAAACGGAATCGAAGATGATAATAATGACGATGATCTGACCAATCAGACAGCACCGATTGGTTATGTTTTACTAGGCAGTGAAGTGTTACACGCAGCGGATGACGGTGGAGATGACAGCGAAGCAGATGATGATGATGCATTGTCAGTCAGTGAAAATGAACAAACCGGAAATCCTACCATCAATCAAAATGATTCAAGTATACAGTCTTTGGAGAATGACGGAGATTCAATCAATCTAGATATTGATGTTGATCAACTACTTAATCGACAGTTGGCTAGAACAGAATTCGAGCCTCGTGGAGCATTTTCAGTAAGTGTTTTTACTCCTAAATGAGCCTAGTGTGTAATAGTAGTAATAATAATAGCTTCATTCTGGATATTGTTTATAAAGTGTTAGAACTCTCAACAGAATTTGTTGCTAAAGATACATTCTTTTCGTTAGGCATTTCCAAGTAAAATCATAAATGATAGTAGATTGCATGACGCAGTGTCATTAACCTGAAGAGCAAATCAATCGCTGATAATAATTCTCGCCCTGATATAATGTTTATGAGGTACCTAGCCTGTCATATGCTCTGATGGTGTTCCCGTGACTTCTGTTGCCAGATCCGCCAAGCGCAATGGGATGTTACGCGACCTAATGGTTGTGTGCTTTTGAACTCTCCACCATATAATATGTATAAATTCACTCTATTGCTTGATCTTGTATTGTGTCTACGTCAATTCTTGTTTCCAAGTGAAATCTGAACTCTCTCCCCTCTTTATCTACTAATACCACAAATAACACGGAATAGTTAGTCCACTTACATCATTTTTGGAATTATGTTGCTTATACTTTCTGTATATAAGTCGACATCATTGTGGAAAAGTATGTTCGAAAATTCTGTAATTTATAATTTGATCTTGTTTAAGATGTAAGTAGTTGAAGAGAATCTACGAGACAAAACAAGGTAATATCATCAAAACTGGAAATATGTTGATTGCTTCTTTATTCAAACTAGTAACTATAACTAATAACCAGTAGGGTGCAGCTGGTCGGGTGTGAGGACGAATACTCGCCAGCGAAGACATTGGCTAGGGGTCGTGTAATAGGAATGATTCAGCACCTGTTCAACCGGATATCTGGAAAATTACACCACCCTACGACAAATAGGAAGACGTAAAGGAAACTGGCCATTGGATCGGGTCCCAGTGGCTTAATGATATACGAGCTAGCTCGCCTTGTAACCAGAAGGTCCTGGGTTCGAATCCCAGTGGATGTGTACTGCTGAAGAGTCCCAAACAAGGACGAAACAGCTATCAATACTCCCTGACAGGTTTTCCAATGGTTCTCTAACTGATGCCAGCTCATGATGAAATCCTGTAACTAATCAATCAAATCCCTACAAACCAACACTTGAATAATAAAAATAGTTATTTACGTATCCGAAAAGATTTCTTGATCACAAGTATTTAATTGAATGAATAAATAAATATCAAAGGTATTGATAATTTTTCTTTGTTTATTTCACCTTCTAATTGTGTATTTCATTTAGGACTCGAATTTATTTGTTGGTACAGTTGAAGACACATCTCATATAGAATTATGGAATGAAAATACGCCTCCATCAACATCACAAATCACAATAACTCCAGGTACGTTGTAAAATTAATCAATGTAAAATTGGTTACAGGATTTCATCATGATCTGAAATTAGTTAGAGAATCATTGGAAAACCAGCTGGGAGTACTGAACAACTGTTTCGCCGCAGTTGGGTACTCTTCATTGGTACTCACTCACTGGGTTTTAAATCCAGGACCTCCCGGTTACAAGGCGAGCTCGTAATCTAATTAAGCCACTGGGACCCTCTCTAGTGGTATTCGTGACCACTGGCCAATGTCCGGCGAGTATTTGTCCTCACACCCCCAGTCTACTGTACCCCACTGGTCACGACTTCTCACTAGAACTCAGGTAACTACCCATCTGAATAGGGCCAGTCGCTAGTGAGCATCAGATTGGTATTCACAAGTGTGGGTTTGCGGGGAAATTGATTGGTTACAAGACTTAATCATGAATTAAAATTGCGCTGTTTACTGCCTCGCTATTTACTGTGACTTCTATGAATTTCGGAAAAGACACCGAAACTAAACTAGAATATTGCTAAATAATGATAGCTCTCTTCCTCTTTTCAGTTGGTCTAAAGTAATATGTACTGAACTGTAAAGTGATCGCAGCTGTAAAAGTTTTAATTGTACGTGGACAGTCTATATCGCTAGGTTGAATGGCATTTACGTGGGATCTTTTAAGATTAAATATTGAATGGAAAGAAACTTTGACACGTGTAATACTTGTGCATTAAATCTAAAAAACGCCATGGAGTACATCATGCATATTGCAAGAATATGTTTAGTTCTGATTGTTAATTACTATACTGTGATCACCTGTATCAAATCACTTTAAGTTGCACAGCACACAAGGATATCATTTTTTTTAGCAAATGTCAATTTTCAAGTGCGTTAGCCTGTGAGGATTTGATTATTCTCAAATTTGAAATCCCTACAAACTAGCGTTTCAAAATTAATTTAATGCTCATTCGAGACTGGTTAGAGGATGATGTTGTCTCGAATTGTAGTAAGAAGTCATGACCAGTAGGGGTCCACCAGATGGTGTGTAAGGTGGCGCTAAAATTCACAAATCGATAAGAGATTTGAGCCATTGGATACTGTTCCGTTGGCTGAATGAGCTCACCTCGTAAGCTGAAGCTCCTGGGTGCAACCTTCGATTGGGTTATGGGCGCGTAATGCTGGGGAGTCCCAACCCAGGACTCTGTGGTATTGAATGGTTTCTCTAACTGATATCAATCCGTGATCAAACTTGAAGTGTTGTAAATTTCTCAATTCTACCAATATTAAGATGATCCTCCAGCGTCAGTGGCAAAGCGGTAGGATGCTCGTCCGGGGTTCGATCCCCGGCCGACGCATTTCTTAACCTTTCTAAGCCAGTAATAAGACTGGTAAAGAGGGAAGGTTGGGCATGAGGCTAGCAACCCATCTGGTAAAATAAACACCACTATGACGGAAGCTTTAAGTTTCTAGCTTGAATCCCTAGCTTCCACTGGGAACGTAGAGGAATAAGGTGATGACGAGTCGAAAAGAGCTTCTTCATTGAACCACTGGTTTTTTCACAAATACTTTCCTGTAGATTGTTTGTAGATTCAGTATTTGGGGGTAGATGACTGTTTCTTATGAATTTTATCCAGTAAGTGTTTCCATTAGGTTTACAAAGTTTTAGTAAAAACATAAGGCAACATATTCTCTCTTAAACCCACAGAGGAACTGTAACTAACTGTCTATACGTGTGAAATATGTGGACAACATAAGGCACATTTAGGTACTTCTGTTTATTTATCTATATAAAACACAAACTTGGTACATTATACACACCTAGATATGCTCTACACAAAATCGCATAGTCTGTGTGAGAGCTCGGAAACTGCCCGCGGACACCCAGAGTGGAGCAAGTGATTCCCTGAAAGAGCCATCCCTGAGCCTTTGACTTGAATTTTGATCCTCACTGAAGTGGATATGCATTCCCATGGTTGCCGGTAGCCAAAACAGGCGTATTCGTCACCCCTTCAGTTCAGATTCTGGAGCCCATATACACCATAGGTTTGGAATCGGGGTATATTCCAGCTGCCTAAAGGTGACCAGCAACGACAACCAGCACCAATCACCATCAGTGGGAAAGATTTAACAGAGGTTACTTCCCTCCTGCACTTATCTAGGAGGAATCGTTTCAACTACAGGCCAGTGGAACGGATGAAGATGTCAAAACCAGCCAGTCAGAATCGAAAAGGCAAGATGCGCCTTCATCAACCTGAAACCAGTTTGGAAATCTTTTGCACTTAGTCAGAATAAAGAACAAAATTTGGATTTTCAATACAAATGTCAAGTCAGCTAGTTCTTCTATGCTGGTCAAAAACTTACACTGGGTGTCACTGAAAGGATTTCCAACAGGTTGCAAACTTGTCTCAACAGCTGCCTTCGCTGTCTCCATACTGAAGACCAAACAGCTAGAAAGAATAAGCTACAAGAAACTATGGGAACAAACCAACCGAGCAAGAGCCGATCGCTCAACAAATATGCAGAAGAAAGTGAAGATGGATCGGGCATACGCTAAGGAAATCGTCGAATGACGTCGCACACCAAGCATTGCTCCATTGGAATCCCAATGGAAAGCGACGAGTAGTTCGTCAGTGCGACGGTGACATGGGGTAGATTGTTTGGGAAGGAGATGAGAGATTATGGGTAATCGTGTACGGTTCCGAAGAGGACGGCAGAAAATAGAACGAAGTGGAGATGTGTTGTTGAATCCCTATGTTCCACTTGGAATCCAAGGGAATAATGACAACAAAAATAAAGGTGATCACCATGTCAACCAGTCAGATTATATGCGTCTTACGTTCACATTCTCCCTCTTACTTTTGTGCGGAATACCTTTGTCGCGTGAGGGCAGTAAATAGGAGTTATCTGACCGAGGCTTTGAATGCGTCGCCACATGAGAGTATTTTGAAAGTAAGGTCTAAGTTTACCCACCCTCGGCTGTACCAGTTTGTTTGTAGGAGGTGGTTGGTATTTCCCATAATAATTCTTTCTATTCCATTAAATAACCCGTTTTGAAGTGCAGTCGTCGAATCTGAAAGTTCTTTGTCTGAAAAGTGTTAACTCTTCAAAAAGCAATGTAGAAGTATTATGCTTAATGAAGTTGTATAACTGAATTTTCGTTATATGCATTTTATATAATTTCATACTTAAATATTAATCTAATGTGTTTCATTTTAGACGAAGCAGATAAGATTAAAACCTGCATGTCAAATTTTCAACTACCAGTTTCACGATATCCTCCATGGGCTACACAAATTCCAGAAGAGCTATGGAAAGCTAAGCTGCTTGAAAAACTTGGAAGTAAATATAAACCGTAGAATTAATTTTGGTGCTCACCATTCCCATAACAATATGTTTTCTCTCTGTGATCATTTCGATTTGAAATTCCACTACCTTTTCCGTTAGTCACTTCATATGAAATTATTATTATTATTATTGTTATTATTACTAATTCACATTAAATAAAGTTTCCTTGTAAAGTCGCTTGTTTCATTTTATTGATATGTTGGAAGTTGTCTTTAACGTTGTTGCTATCGTGATATTGTGTTACTCGATTATAATAATAATATGAATAATTTGCTTTATTCCAAAACAGTACTTATGATACAGTATGGAATTCTCGGCATTTGGTACAATATTCCATTTAATCTGCTCAACAACAGCAACCAAAGAATCAATACTGGGTGTACAGGGAACCAAGATTGATAAAAGCAGGTTTTTGGTGCTAGCAGTGACAATAAGGTGAAAAATATACAAAAAAAGTGTAAAATAATAATAATGTTAATAACTAAAATTATAAGATAATTGAAATAATGTCACCGTAAATCTCATACTGTGGCGAGTGCTACTGACAAGATTTATCAGTAGTATATGAATAGACGTTCTTCGGCATAAAAACATCAACTAGCAGAGAGACACATTTGATTTCAGAAAAGGAAAATAATACAGCGTTGTGTTGATACATCGGGGACGACGTGAATGGAACACAAAGAAGCACAACATGAATTCGAGAAGTACCACAACACGGAAGATCTGTGCAAATGGTGCATTGAAGATAAGGTAAACATAATTTCGTTACATAGGGATACCAATTACCAAGAAATCTATCCCTTACCAAGTCTTTCATATCCTATCGTTTCAATACGAAGAGATAAAAGAGTTGATTATTTTGCTGATTACATAGTAAGTTGTAGGTGTCACACTTAACGCTATCTGTATCACATGGAATGTGGGTCAAATAGGGTATCGTTGAGTTTTTATACTTGGTTGTACGAGCATGTCATCTTTTATGATAACTTTTAATCCTACCTGATGAGATGCAAGACGATGACAGTTGTGAATGCAGAGGGTGTTGAAAGTCAGACAATATGGATTTAGACCATTTCTCATATGATTTGTTCAGGTGGCTGTCGAGTACAATAGTAACAAGCTAACTTAATGGCACACCACTTGCTCTACTGACAAACTTTAATATCCTTCGCAATATGATGTAGTCCTTTTTGAGTAGCTCAGGGAAGAGGAACAATAAAGAAAAATCTAAGGTCTTTATATTTAGTCAAGACTAATAGTTACCAAGTAAATCTGATTATTGGTCACTTTTAAACTCTAGGTTCTAAAGATAGACATTTTTGGAAATAAACTCTGGGTTGAGTTATATCAGAAAAGTCATTATCGAACAGGTTATAGAATAGCAGTCAATTGTTTACCTGAACTTCATTGACTTGAGAAAGACCGTCTACAGCGTTGGCCGTGAAATAATTTCGAAGCTTCTGTAACACTACGGAGTGCTGTAAACTAATATCAACAGCCATATGATGATGGTGTATGTCATGTGACTCAAAATAGGAAAATCAATGAAGCTTTTCGAGGGGAGACAAGACTGTCTACTATCACCAATGATATTCTGACTGTGGTGTACTGGATCATGTGGCAGATTGTGGGCAGCGGGGAGACAGGAACGCGTTGGACTGATGAGAAGACTCTAGAAGATCTGGATTTTACAGGCGACTTATGTGTGATATAACATAAACTCGGTCTAAAGGCGAAGACCAACAAGCTGACAGAAAAAGCAAGCATCAAAAACAAGACTTCGAGTGAACACAGAGAAGACAGAAGTTATTAAAATAACCAACAAGCACAAATCACTGTCACCATAATACATTGGAAAGTGATCACTTCCTTCAGTTATCTATGGGAATCGTCTCAACTGCAGGTGGCACAGATGACGATGTTAAAATTAGAATCAGAAAGACGAGAGAAACATTCATCCACTCCGAAGTCAATGTGAATATCTTCTGCACTGAGTATACAGTACAAAATCCAAATTTCCAGCACCTGTGTCGTGTCAGTCAGTTCTTGTCTATGAGTCAGGTACTTTGCTCATCGCCAAAACATTTCCAACAATCTACTGCAAAATCCTATCAACAACTCCATGACTGGCGGGAAAGAATAAGTCACAAGAAAGAACCCATTGGTCTGCAAATATCCCGCAGGAGATGGGGATAGGTCGGAGACAGATTGAGGAAACCGTTGGATGACATCGCATACCAGGCCACAGCTAGAGTGGAAGTCGGTTGGGAAACGACGAGTTTGGCGTGGATCCAAAGGTGACATTCAAGAGATCGTGTGAGGAAATGAGAGACTATGGTCAATCTGAGGGGACTGCAGAGAACAGGGTAAGATACACGTGTGCTCCTGAAGTCCTATGTCCAACACGGAATCCAAGGGAGTAATAATAATAATAATAATCATATAATCACATGAAGTGCTACAAAAGTAAAATGGAATTCAAGTATTGGTTTGTGGGGATCTGATTGATTGGTTACAGGTTATCATCATGAACTGATATCAGTTAGAGAACCATTGGAAAGCCAACTGAGAGTACTGGACAGCTGTTTTGTCAGTCTAGTTTGGGACTCTTCATCAGTACGCACACATCACAGGTGTTTGAACCCAAGACCTCCTGATTACAAGGCGAGCTCGCAGACCATTAAGCCACTGCGACCCGATCCAATGGCCAGCCAATTCACGACGTAGTACGATCGCTAACGAAAATGGAATTCTCTTTTTTGCCCAAAGTAAAAACTTTGTCTATTCACTTATTCAATATTCTATCTCAAAATGTCTAATGTCAAGTGTTGTGAGATTACACGACTGTAAAGCTTATTAGAAGCTAGATAATATAAAACTCAGAATTGATCACATTGTTATTGATACATTCATTTATGAGGTATAACAACTCAGACTACTACTAAACAGACAAAAGAGGTCGATGATAACTACAAATGGGGATCATCATCACCATATATATGTCTGTTTTATTCGACAATTCTCTCAATCACCAATGTAATATCCTCTACACAAATGAAATAAACTTTAGGTTATAAACAAGAAGAGGAAGAAACAGGCATCCGGAGGAAAAATGAAGTGAGAATAGGAAATAATCTTATGATACAAAATATTTTTTCTAATGTGTAGAAAGATACTGTTCATTTCCGTTAACAGTATGTACATTTTTATCCCCTTTTTATTGTCATTATTATTATTACTATTATTTTCATCAATTCATTGACGAACAATTAAAAAACGTAAGTAATTCAAGAACTTATTGATAACGAATGATGAAGTGAGGAGTATGATTCGAGTGTTTGTGTAATCAAGTATATTATCAGTAAAACACAACGAAAAAAATAAATAAAACAGTTTTTTGTTTTAATGCGAACAGGAAATTTCGCGCGAATTTTAAATTTACTACAGTAGAAGTCATGTAAATGTTTCTTTTCATGCGAATATGTATGTATGTATGTATAAATATGCATCTATAGTATTTGTGATTGTTTGCGTGATTCTTCGTTCTGTTTTTGCTTTTTTTCATCCTCAGTATTTATTTTATTCCCCTTTGTTTGAAATTCAGTAGTAACTGTGAACGACAGTTCATTTTATGTTTCTTTGTGTATATATATGTGTGTGTGCGTGTATGTGAAGAGAGCTGTAAGATGATGAAGTATGGTATATGTGATTGGATTATTCAAATGGCACTGTGTGTTCGCTTATGTGTGCGAAGGGAAGTTACATTTCCTGTAATAAAGATGAAACTTCCTTTATTATTGTGTAAGTATATTTTTGTAAAAAAGTACTTGGATGTTATTAGGAAGATATTTGTAAAATAAGATATCCATCTATCTATCTATCTATCTACAGGATGTAAAAATTTTCTCATTTGGAAGTGTATCTCATTCTAGTAATTAATTAACTAATATAGATGAACAACATTTGAAGGTGTATGTTGACTGTGGTAATAAATTCAACTGTACTGTGAGAACATTTTTAGGGGAATGAAGTAGACCATTGACTCACATCTTGTATTCCTAGGAAAAGGTCAAAAGCAAAATAGAAATAATGGTGAAATTAATAATGATAAGATAAATAAGAAAGAATACAAGGCATCTACAGTAGTTTTACTATATAAGGAGGGAGGGGACATCTGAAACCCTCCCTAAGTAGGATTCTTAATAAAGCAAGAATTTGGTGGTGGCATTCAAACCCACAAACTCACTCACTCAGGTAGAGACAAGCTGTTTGGGCTAAACGACCCTGTGGACCCAATTAGACAAAATAATATAGTTTACAAAATATCTTGCAAAAACTCTGAGTCAGCTCAACTACATAGGTCAAACTAGTAGATCGAAGGTAGTGAAATTATCAGAACATAAGAATTTAGCCAAGATTAGAATGGTTGACCCCAAGAAGATGAGTAATTTAGAAAAAAGCTCAGCAAATGCACTACATGCATTAACACAAAACCACACAATAGGGTGGGTGGGAGAGGGTTAGAATTCTAAGAAGTAATATAGGTAGGTGGAGTACGAAAGAGATTGATTACTGAATCCTAGTTCATCGAGTAATCTACAGCCAACACATCAACAGAAATCATCAATGCAACAGAAATATGGAAGATATTATTACCACCAGTCAGTCAGATCAGACGATAATAAATAATCTTAAAATTCTATGTCAATTCATGTACATCATAACATTCTAACAAGTTACTGATTTTTACAGTAAAAACATCTTATTTTCCATCTGATTGTATTCGATTGATAACAGTAATATTATTCAAGTATCAGTTTTCAGAGATTTGATTGGTTACAGGACTTCATCATCAGCTGACATCAGTTAGAGAACCACTGGAAAACTAGCTGAGAGTACTGGACAGCTGTTTCGCCCTGGTCTGGGACTCTTCAACAGGATTCGAACCTAGGACCTTCCGGCTACAAGGCGAGCTAGTAGACCAATTAAGCCACTGGGACCCGATCCA